AATCGAACCCGGGTCAAACCTGGGTTGAGTCCGGGCCCACACCTAAAAAGGCATCGATTTCCGTGCGGTTCGCGCGAGTGTGGAACCACAGCAATATGGGTGTCTTTTCTAGCTAAAATCGACGTTCCGGACGCGTCGGCGCAGTCCGTTTCGTCATCCGGGGTCTTCCGGACGAGTTTGCCGGCGGGCGAGTCAATTTAAGCCAAAATTGTGTGTGATGCAACGAGTGCGTTGAAGTGCGGCGTTCGCGAGTATTCGAGTCACAAATTGTTCACCTAAGGTCATTTGATCCTATAGGAACTCATTTTCAGACCCTCTGCATGTTGGTCCTTAGCCCTTGCAACTAGAAGTTGAGTGCTTGAGACCATTCGTGCGAGTTTTCACAAAAAATGAGTAAAGAAGCGGTTTGAAGTTCTATGGGAGGTGGGTTCCATTACTAGTCCGCTAGGATGGTCAACCAGGAACTCCTAAGGCTAGATCCTAGGTTCTAAGATTAGGAGGCTAAGACCTCACTAAAAATGAGGTCAACACCTATAAGTAGTATTAAAGAAATGCCTTCACTTCTATCTGGCTGCAATTTGCAATGATAGCACCAAAACCATCTAACGTCTAAAAATCGGGGAATGACAAACAATGATCAAACAACTCAGAGTCGCTTTCTTACTTGATAATATAGACCAGAGTGCCCTAACATAAATTAAAACTTGGAAGGCACTCTAGCAATCATCTAATCAACAACTTTTAAATGGCCTGAAGTCTTGAATTATAAGTTCTAAATATATAAGAAAAATTCATAATATAACAAAAACATCCCATTCAAGCAAGCACTGTGACAGAAAATTAATGAACAAAATAATATAAACCATACGGTTCTGGCTACAACATTTGATCCAACATAGAAAGCCATGGGATGAACAGATAAAACATAAACCACATTACTTTGGCAATGATCTAAGATCAAGCATAAATATATGCGCTGCATAACATTGCCAAGAGAAGAACCGCTTTAATGAGGATAGAAGTTTTGAGGAAATGTTTCGGAAACAAAGTGTTTCTATTTGATAAAATAATCTTCTATATCTGCATCTAATAAACTTACATCATCCCTGAGACCATCACCTATCATCATAACTTCGTTAGGTGGAATACCCCAAGATAAGCAAATGTGCAACAAAGGAGCAGGGTTAGGCTTATATGGACGAAATTCCCTGCTCAATGCTGGAGCAAACTTCAGCTGAAATGACAATAGAAGAAACGTTGACAGTCATTTGTATAATAAGCAACCATTACCATAGCTGAATAATTTCATGAAAATAAAAAAATGCTCATAAAAAAAGAAAATTTTGAAAAGGACTTTCTAAAACAATGGGCTACATGATTTCAATAGAAAATCCAGACAACATATTTATTAGTTCTTCAGTTTGCAAGAGCATTGAACAACATCGAGAACCAGTTTATTTCACTAAAAGTGACTGGAAGATTGGATCTCACTTCCAAAGGGACTTCAATATGAGTGAATGGGTGTGCACACACGCATATTTTTCTTCCTTTCTACAATGTTAATGGTCGTGCACACATGCGCACGTGTTGAGAATTGTATATGCTTCAGAGCCTTTTTTGTAAATAGGAAAAATAGAAGAAGTCTAAAGATTTATTTGTACGAAATGTTGTAAGGCTCTATATAAGTCCAAGTCATTAATAAATAGATGAGATTTGTTGAGCAATTATTTCAATTTGGTATCCAAGCTCTAACCTAACGCCTCTCGCTCGATCTTGAAACTCCCAATTTTCTCTTCTTTGGCGTCGTCCTCTCGAGGCACGACTAGTCGGGATTAATGTAGTCCTCACAATCATGACTAGGGCAGCGACAAGTTGGGATTGAAAAGCAGCAACAACACGACGAGTCGGGATCATGAAGCAGTCGCGACAAGTAGGGTCGGGATCGACGTCGTCCTGGCGAAGTAGTCGCGATTAGTGGCATCGTCCTGGCGAAGTTAGGTCATCGCTGCATAGGAAGTTAGGTCTGGTGAAGTCTTGCTTGCGGCTTAGGAGTGAGGAAGGCAACGGAGCAAGGTGTTTGTTTTTGGAGTTGCACTCAACGACAAGGAGGCGAAAAATCGAAACGGTTGCCGTTTTGCATACGGGACAAAGAGGTTGTAGCTTCGTCCGGGCTAAGGTAAAGCTGATCACACGAACTTACCAGAAGGAAGTCATGTGTCATCAAGGCTTGATCTTTCTAATTGAGAATGGCAAGAGACGAAGATAGTGGAGGAACTAAAGGATTGAAATTTTTGGGAAAGATAGATCCTGAAGTTTTGAAGATCTCGGTTGGGCTCATACATGGAGCTACAACTTTCGAGAAGTGGGAGGCCTGAGCAAGGCTCGCCAAAACCACCCAAGGAGAGAGAGATGGGTGGACATGAACAATCTAGAGGCTGTGGTCGAAATTGTGGGGGCCAGAGGGGTGGAAGAGGGGACCACCGGGTGAATTTTATGGTAACGGAGAACAAGGGAGAGACAGGCGTGGTCTTTACCAACGAGGATCACGAGTTACTGAAGATGTTAAAGAGGAAGCAGAGAGCTGTGAGTGATGTGACTGAAGAAGCATCCACCTTATCGTCATTCAAGGGGAACACTGCTACTTATGCTCACTCTGTCAAATTTACTCTTGAAATACATGCTCTTACCTTTATATCAACCACAAGATCACCAGAATGAACATTAGATTCTGGTGCATCTTGACATGTGACAGGTGTCGCTAGTGAGTTGTCTTTCTATACTCACCTAGAAGTTCCGGAGAGCATTCAGACTGTTAATGGTACAACACAGTCTATGTTTGGTAAGGAAGTAGTGAGGTGTACCAAATCTATAATTATGCTCAATGTTTTGAATGCTCCTTCATTTCCAGTGAACCTTTCATTCATTAATGTCATTATGCTCCAACTAAAATTTGATGTTTTATTTGATATTCTTGAAGTGATATTTCAAGAGAAGAGGACTGACATGTGACATAATGGACTTTGGTACTTAGATAGAGAGTAGATGAACTCAGCCTTGACATTCATGTCAAAGAGTGCTGGAGTAGAAGGATCTAAGAGCGTGGAAGATGTGTTGTTGCTACATCAAAAGCGCACGAGACACTCTTTATTTAGTTATTGAGTCGTTTGTATACGTCTCCGTATGAAAATGCGAATAAACAAAAAATAATGAGTGATGCTTGTGAATTCGGTAAGCATACGAAGAGCTCTTATGTCAAATCTAGTAATAGCTCGTGTTTTTGATTTGGTGGACTCAAATGTATGGGGACCTTGCTCTATAACTTCAAAAAATAACTACATATATTTTGTGACTTTCATTGATTATTTTTCTCATATCATTTGGTTATATCTGATGTGAAATAAAAGTGATGTATCTATCTGTTTTAAAGACTTTCACAAAGCGATTCAGACTCAATACAGTGCAATAATGAAGGTATTGAAGTCTGATAATGGGAAGAGTATACCAACAACACGTTTGAAGAGTATCTATCTGCACAAGAGATACAACATCAAACCACATGCTCATACACACCAACACAAAACAGAGTAACAAAGAGGAAGAATAAAAACCTTCTAACGATATCTCAAAGCATGATGATCTCAATGAATGTCTCAAAACACTTGTGAGGGAAAACTGTTTTGACAACTGCTCAATTGATCAACAAAATGTCCTCAAGAGTGTTAGAGTGACAATCTCCTTGTGAGTTGTTATAATAGCGGATCCTCCCATTGAAGATATTTGATTGCGTATGTTTTGTGAAGGATAATAGACCGTTAATAAAGAAACTGGATCATAAAGCTGTGAAGTGTATTTTCTTGAGTTACTCTGCCACTAAGAAGAGTTATGTTTGTTGGAGCCCAATAAAGAAGAGACAATTTGTGAGTATGGATGTAACTTCTATGAGAATTCAAACTATACTACACCTTGGAAGTAACCTCACCCTTTCACGACTCACCAATACAGGAGTTATGAGGCGAGAGGGCGAGAGGGTGAGAGGGCGAGAGTAGTGATGTTGAGAGATTGGTGCATGTTGGGACTTGCCTTTTCCCGTTGTGTAGGAAGGATAGACAGAGAAAGAGCCAAAAAACGAGACAAATGAGCCCGAATGTGGTGAGTTTCAAGCTCAAGGGGAGCCGCGGGTGTATGCAAGGAGATGGTAGAATGTGAGAACAGTGTCTGTCGTGCCACTTATGCCAACAAGCCCCTTGTCCTGGTCTATCCCGACTCTTGAGCACCTACACCATCCACCTTGAATTAGATTACATAGGTGTTATGATTCCTCTCCCCTCTCCTCCCACTCTCAAAACATTAAGGAGAACCTCTCACAACAATGCAGACCATCCTTCTAATTGTTATTCTCCTAATTATATCAATTTCTCACATGACATTACTCAGTTTATCTAATGCTCCAACGTATCACCTTTACACGGAGCATTCATTGCATCTTTGGACAGTGTCTCTATGTCTAAGTGTTGGCAGGTAACTGAGGAGGATTCAAAGTAGAAGGCTATAATGTCAGAAGAACTTGGTGCTCTCGATAAGGACATGACTTGGGAGCTCACTTTATTGCCAATAGAGGAAAGAAAAGTCGATAGCAAATGGGTCTTCAAAGTGAATCAGGCCTTAAAAGTAAAGATTGATATCTACAAAGCACTGTTGGTGGGGAAAGGGTATATTCGACTATGATGGGATATTTGCATTAGTGCCAAAGATGAGCACAGTCAGAACACTGATCTCCCTGACTGTGAATGGTGGATGAAGATTACACAAATTGGATGTAAATAATGTGTTTCTTCATGGGGATCTGCTAAAAGAAGTGTACTTAGAGATACCCCCAGGCTTGGACATAAACCAAACAGAGGGCAAGGTATGTAGACTGAGGAAGTCTGATATAGTTTGAAATAGTCTCCTCAAGCATGGTTCAACTGGTTCAGGAGAGCAAAAGTAGGCAAGAGCTATCAACAAATCAATGCTAACCACACAGTATTCTTTCGACGACATGGTGGTTACATTACTATTCTTGATGTGTAAGTGGATGATATGATTGTCAATGGTAATAATGAAGGAGAGATTGCACAGTTGAAGAAAAGTTTGGGCAAAGAGTTTGGGGTGAAGGACTTAAGACAACTTAGATACTTCCTCAGAATTGAGGTGCCTTGTAGAGCAGAGGAAATTATTCTATCTCAGAGAAAGTATGTGCTAGATTTGCTCGTAGAGCGAGCATATTGGGATGCCAGCTTAGACTTTCACCAATTGATCAGAAGGGGAAGTTGAGAGCAGAGGCAGGAGAGCTAGTTGATTGTGAGAAGAACTAGAGCTTGATAGGTCATCTCATCTATCTGAGTCACACTGTCCTGACATATCATTTGTAGTAAGCGTAGTGAGTCATTAGATACATGATCTGAGGAAGGGCCACATTGATACCGTGTATCAGATTCTGAGATACCTAAAGAGTACGCCAGGGAAGGGATTGATCTTCAGAAAAAAATGGGCATTTAGGTATTGAGGGATATTGTGACTCTGATCGGGCTAACTCTACTGACGACAAGAGGTCCACATCAAGGCACTGCATGTTTGAAGGGGGGCAATTTGTTGTCTTGGAAAAGAAAGAAACAGTAAGTAGTTTTGAGGTCAACGACAGAGGCAGAGTATAAAGTCATGGCCTTAGGAGTTGTCGAGATATGGTTGAGAGCTCTATTGGTAGAGCTCAAGGTGGACCAAGAAGCTCAAATGAAGTTGTGGTGCGACGACAAGTCAGCAATTAGCACTGCCAACAACCCGATGCAACACGACAGAATCAAGCATGCAGAGATTGATAGGTTCTTCATCAAGGAGAAGCTGAATAGCGGATTATTGGAGATAAGTCATGTAGCTACTAAAGAGCAAGTAGCTAACTGCCTCACCAAAGGACTTAACTCATTAGATTCATTTAGATTGTGTGACAAGATGGGCTTGAAAGGGAGCGTTGAGAATTGCAAATAATTTATAGTCCTAATTGTAAATAGGAAATATAGAATAAGTCTAGGGATTTATTTGTAAGGAATGTTGCAAGGCTCTATATAAGCCCAAAATTTTTAATGAATAGATGAGATTTTTTGAGCAATTATTTCAATTGTACGTGCACATGCTTGTTGATTCATTTTTATCTTTATTCATGTAAATTTCACCTTGCCCTGTCCTCAAGCAAGATAGAAAGCTTCAATATGAGTCCCAATGACATATCGGTATTGCACTTTTAGACAACTTTTGAGGTTGCAAGCTTTATAGCAACGTATTGAGGCCAACATTTTATTAATACTAATACAACAACAACAAAATGCTTTTATCCCACTAAGAGGAGCCGACTACATGAATCCTTTTTCTCCATTGCGACCTATTGAGTGTCATATTTTCATTTAATTCTAATAGATTAAGATCAATTTTTATACAATATGTACAAGCCTTTTTAAGTCTACCTCTGCCTTGCTTAACATAAATCGAATATAAAACATCTACTCTCCAATTAGATCATCATATGGTCAACGTTTAAAGTGACCAAAACATCTAAGACGACTCTCGCTAATCTTATCTGCCAACTGGAGCTACACCAACCCTATGAGGGATATATTCATTTCGCCTTTTCTCTCCAGGTGTCAAGCCACTCATCCACCTAAGCATTTTCATCTCATCATCTAAGCATTTTCATCTCAGCAACACTTAACTTTGTTTTATGGTTCTCTTTTAAAGGCCAATATTCTGCGCCATAGAGCATTGTAGGTTTTACCACCATCTTATAAAATTTTATTAATACTACTAATAGAATAATTATAAAATAATATGATAATGTTAAAAAATTAGACTCAATATAAAACAAAAAAAAAATAGAATCGACTTCATGTGCAATGAGCACAAGCAAAATAAGCAAATTTCAATGTAATTCACTACAGAGCAACTCACTTTTCGTACAAATATCCAAACACAACAACAACAACAACAAAGCCTTAATCCCACTATGTGGGCTCGGCTACATGAATCATTTTTCTCCATTGCGTCCTATTTAGTGTCATATTTTCATTTAGTTCTAGTAAATTAAGTTCATTTTTTATACAATAAGCCCAAGTTTTCCTAGGTTTACCTCTGCCTTTCTTAACACAAGTAGAATCTAAAACATCTACTCTCCTAATCGGATCATCAGATGGTCGACGTTTAATGTGACCAAACCATCTAAGACGACTTTCTCTAATTTTGTCTGTCACAGGAGCTACACCAACCCTATCATAGATATATTCATTTCGCATTTTGTCTCTAAGTGTAAAGCCACTCATCCACCTAACCTACATTAAAAAAAACTGGCCCTTAGAGTAAAATATACAGTAAATATTTAAACATGCAGCTTAAGACAATGTAACGTATAATCAATGTAACGTTACAGTAAAATATACAGCAAAAGCATTAAAAAGGAAATAACTGTCTTGAAAAACAATGTAACGTATAATCGAAGTTAAAAGTAAAAAAAGCGCTCAGCAACAGTCATTACATTAATAATAACTTTAATCTTAGTTTTGATGCTTTATGCAATGTTTTACAATTTCTTTTGCGTGATGCTTGATGGAAATTCTCCAGTCTTGTTATAATTCACTCCAGTCAGAGCAATTAAGGAGAGAACTGTCAAAGAGTTATTTTTCTACTTTGAAAACCAAATAGAAGATTTTCACTTGGCCTCTTAAAAAATTGTGAATAAGGAAGTTTCTCTATGCATATTTAAGAGAAAATAAAACAGCTAAAAAAAAAAACTTGAGAACAAGGAAAAAATTCCAGAAAAAGAAACTTCATATTAAAATAGTTTAAATAACAAAGTCAGTACTCTTATCAAATATTATGATTCAAAATATATGATAAGAGTACTGACTTTGTTATGCGGGCGTAATAGAAGCCATTAATTGTGATGTTTCATTAGCAAAACAAATCTTGTAACATTGTAAAAATGCATAGTCAGTACAAAAAACTCCCACCAATGTAAGATTATAACTTTCAAGCTTGCGATCGACACCACCCTTTCTAAGACATCGCAAGGAGCTGTCAGCCCCCTTCCCTAGCAGCCACTGAAGTTTCTTTATCTCCTTCTTCCGTTGTTTCTCGTGCAACAGAAGCCAAACTCAAGCCATTTTCGTCCGCTCCCTTCAAAGTTGAGCAGCCACCATAGTCTCCTCCCACACCAACTACCCTATGCCCTCGAAACGCTGGTTGTAAACAATCTGCTTGCTCCTTACAAATCAATAGCCAGCCAATCCTCCTTAGCTTCTGATCAAGCAAACACCCCTCTACTATATTGCTAGTCCACCATCAATCATAGATTCCTCCCTCCACAAAGCAAGCATGATGACAGTAAGGTCCTTCCCCTTCTCCTCCTCTATTTCCTTCTTCGTTAAAATTATAATAAATGTGTTTAAAAATATATTATTTAAGATAATTACCCCTCATTTTGCTCTGTTAAACTATTATTTATGTTAGAATTGGTCAATGCTTGTTTCAATTTAAGGTCTTTAACAAATTTATTAGATAATCTGCAATTATATGCTTGTATGCAGCAATGTAAAGGTGAGTAAACCCTTTTGAATATTGGTTAATCGGGCCTACAATCCCACAAAATAACAACTCAATAAAAAATTATTAAGTTTCCTCAGGTTGGTGTTTATATTCCCTATTTTAGGGAAGCAAGGTATTCAATGTTAAATTAACTTTTTATATTTTTAATGAATGTATCAGTTATTATATTTGTTTTGGATTTATTAATTTATTTGCTTCTACAGTTGTTTTTTTTAATTTTGTTTCATTATATGTTGTCTTATTTTCTTGTCAAACAATTGCTATGTGTTTTAGTAATTAAAATAAAATTTTAACTTTTCTTTCTTACTCTTATAATTTATATTATCTGTATATAAATTATTCTTTCAGTACAAAATTGGTTCATATTATTTTATCATGCCCAGTGTTACGAGGTGCACTTCTTTCCAGTCCCACAGTGTGAAAGTTCCATGCAGAAGCATCACAAAAGCAAACAATGCATGGGCATTAATTCCCACTACACCTTGGTTGCTGAAATACAATATCCAGAAAAAAAGCATCAAAAGTAGAAAGTAAAATGTGATCAAAGACCATGGAGATAGAAAACCTATTATGAAGTGTTTGGAATAAAAACTTTCAATGAATTACAACAAAAACCATTTAAGAGTTGGAGTTCAATGTATCCAAGCATGCGGAACTAAAGGATGGATCTAATTAATTTCTAACAACATGAGATGGCATACCTCATACCTCTAATTTTATGTCTTTTAAGTATCATAACAATTGATTCCTAGATCACCAAATTTATATTTTATAGAACAATCAAACTATTGCATTGGCATTGAGTACAAAAAAGATAAATAAAGCATACATACCCCAAATCTCTGATGGAACAAATCAACTGAAGCCTTAACATTGCGAGTGATCAGTCCCCTTCTGCCAAAGCTTGAGTAAGAATCAAGTGCAATGAAAAGGATTCATAAAGAAAGGAAAAGTGAATTGCAACTATAACTATTTTTTAATCTGCCTACAATTAGATTCATTGTTTTTAAAACCTAACAAAAGGTATCAATGTTTGTTCTCGTTCACAAATAGGTTGATCTAATTGATGCTGGCATAAATAAATAAATAAAGGAACTCGATAAATATTTACAATAGACATAAATAGCATTTCCATAAAAGAACTCATTGGCTCTATGAAGCTTCCCTCTCACAAGTCAGGAAGGCTCAAGAATCAATTTAAGTGTTCCTAAATACTGTTTTTTTAAAAAAAAAAAAAAAAAGTAATTTCATAACTAGAAAATCATATCAATGCAACCTGGAAAACTAACAATGCTAAAGAAAAAAATACATAAGAAAAAATAAAGATAACTTGAAGCAGAAGCCTCCATCCGAAATTGGAAAATACTCATTTGGAGCAAACACCTGGGCATGTTGATTAAAGAGAGAACCACATATGTCAACTTTGGAAGGTCATTTATTGGCTTAAATAAAGCCCACGAGAATAGTTAGAAAATTTCTATTAAGTTCCCGTTGAAATTGTTCTTTGAGATAACACTACTGATGTTCCATCTTTGCAAGGCAGATGCCATCAAGCGTGGTCATGCAAGTTAATTGTATTGATGGCATCATACACATTTGGAGTAATAAAAAAGGCATCTCTAAAATAAAATACTACTTGTAGATCTAGGAAACGTAAGGTACTTTCGTAAAACTGAACTTTCAAACAACAAAATGGATTATCTTTTCTCGCTTGGAATAGTTTCTAATATTGATGAAGAAACTAACCATTTTGATTATAGAACTACCTTAATACTAAGTAAACTCAGCTTCTAAATATAAATAACTCTTTGATATTCCATCCCAATATTGTAATTAGTACAAAAATTTGATTTATCTGATCATTACTAAGCCTAATGCTTCCTTTGTTATTTATGGGAGTCATGAGGTAAGCTCCAAAACAAAAACATAATGAGTCGGCTCTGACCATTCTCATGTCAAGAGGTCCCTAAAAAAAGGGTGATCACACATTCAAACTGAGCATTTTGACGTGGAATCAATTTCAGATGTCAAACATGCTAAGTTGAAGGCAAGAAGTCCATTTTCGGATATTATATTTTTGTTAGAGGTAACTTGATCACTTAAAAAGTAGAAACAAACCCAATATGAATGTGAAATGATGTAATTAACAATCTATTTTAGACGAGTTTAAATTTCTTCTTATAACACAACCTATAGCTCTAAAGTGTGATGGACATGTTACAGTGAAAGTCAAGTTAATCTATAGTTCTGAATTGTGACAATCATGTTATCATCTACATTGCCAGAAATCTTAGGTTACATCAAAGAAACAAACACATTGAAGTTAGTTGTCAATTAATTTGAAATTTTATGCTACAAACAATGTCAATCGCTCATCGTATCTTGAATTCATAAGAAATGATCAATACTTTTACAAAAGCTATGGATTCTCTTTCTTTCTCATGCTTATGTAACAAACTGAAGCTAACTTACAATAAATACTCCAATATGAAGGGGAGTATTTGTGTAGGAAATATCAAAGTAAAAAATTAATTACTCTATTTAGTTAGTGGTATATTTCTATTTCGTTGTATCTTGGTAAATTATATTGATTCCTCTATTATATACAGATAGTTTTCTATTGAATAATATAGGCCAAAAAGACTTTCTCCTCTAATGCGGGGCAACTCCTCTGCACATGAAGGTCGCATTGGCAACATAAATTTCCAATGCTAGAAAACACAAGGATTAGGCCCTGGCACTATTAGGCACCTCCTTATGTGTTCGTAAGCACCCACAAGCAAATTAATGAATGTGTCAGTGGCGTGGCACCTCACGTGCTAGGGCAATGAGTTGCCACCTAAATTTCTTAAAACTTGCAGGAGAAAAAAAATTGCAAATAATAGATGGATTTCTCTATAAGATGAGTTCCGCTACGATGCCCAATAAACTTCACAAGCAAAGCATCTATGCCTTAGGATATATGATAGAAAATAGAAAAACTGAAAAACACTCCTCGCAAAAAGCATAGTCTACAAAATGAATGATTTTATGGCACCAAAATTGAGTAAAGCATCAAACTATAAAAACTGTCTTAAAACAAATGGCAAAGCATTTAAAGCACAAACATACTCATCAATAAGAGCATAGTCCACAATGCCAACTACTTGGTCCAGTGGCATTGTTTTGACCTTCAAATTGATCAAAGGCATACCACAGCACAACAAAAAAAAGAAAAAAATCCACGTGATGAACGATTTTTTTATCATCAAATCCCAGCAAGGCATCAAATTGCAAAAAACTTGGGGCAGCAAAAGCAAAAGCAGACCTTCACCTCATTTGCTTGTAATCAATAAACGCACAGAGCTCAGCAGCACCTGCATGCCCATTGTTAACATTTTTAGGGAATAAGATGTCTGCAATCACTGCACATAAATTTATGGGGAATATGCTAGCAGAAGGAAGCTATTTTAATTTTCAGCCAAGAAATTGTCATAAGCTTTAATATACTTGTGAAGCAGATCAAGTAGGAAGAAGAGAAAAAAAAAGAAGAAAAAAAATTGTGCATGAAATTTTACCCTTTACCAGAGATGTTTGAACAGTGGAAAATGTAAGCAGGGCCTATGAAATCTTTATCAGTTAAACATTAAGATAAACTTCAAAATAGTCCTTGGATTATTTATATAGGCCGTTTAAGTCCCAAACTATCTAATGTGTCAAATTTAGTCTCTCGGCTTTCAATCAAATCTAAATAGCCTTTTAACTTTTTCAAAGCTGATTAAAATAGTCCTTTGGATCATATTTTGAGAAGTCAAGAGACTAAATTGAATACGTCTATAATCAGAACTCAAATGGCCTCCCAAAGATAGTCTAGGGACCATTTTCACCTTTTCTATATAAGAAAATAAGATCTTCAAGATAAATACATCTGTAGAAACTCGGATATCACAAAATTCAAAAAAGAAGAAATTCATCACGTTCGTGTGCTTTACACAAACAACTACAGGTTCCATTAAAATACACCATTGAAGTTCTGTATGGCTCTTCATCATTCTGTCAATATCATGTATTCATGTTTGATCTTTAAAGCAACGTGTAAATTTCTACCTTCTTAACATTGAATTTGAAAACCAACGGTGCCAATTAGATAGCTAGACCATATAACTAAAAAAGTTATCAGAACATTCCAAGAAAATGGTGAAAGAAGCATAGGTGTCAGAGAACACGAAAGCTACGGAAGCTGATGCTAACTGCTAAGCACAATAGACATGAGCCATCCAAGACTAAGAGGCAATTTCATTTGAGCTCTAAAGACAAAAGGTAGGTGTGTGCCCAAGCAGGCCGGACAAATAGCAAAAATGAAAAGCAATATACGGCATAACATTATGCAAACTTCTTGTTGATGTAGAACAAAATGATAAACTTGATTATAACCTTCCAAAATGTAAATATTCGCCATTCCTTTCCACTAAAATCAAATAATGTAATGAATAACTACTGGCTAAAGGTTCACAAAAAGATGCAGAGTTATCAAAAATTATGTTTTAATTTGTATTTTGTAAAACAGATAATTATAAGTTAAGAGAAGAAAGAGCACACAATGAAGAAAGAATACTAATAATGTTGGTGTAAGTTTATGGTGGGGTGTCAACCAATCCAAAACGTGTACTGACGATATTTAAAATAACCTCCATTGGTAATCCTTCACTGCCAATGCTGCCTTTCTCCCTTCCAAGTCCGGAAGCTCACTAACACTCAAGTGTTACACGCTTAAAGGTCGACAATAAGTAAGAAAATTCCAGCATTAACCAAATTTCATTGGCTCATTCAATGAAAACTAAGTTAACACATGGGTATTAATAAAAGAGATAAAAGACCAAGGAAGTGGTCGCCAGCAAAGGTTTTTGGGAAGCATAAAATAGCGTAATTATGGTCGTCCGATGAGCTTCATTTAAGTTCTATGAAAGAAGATAAAACGCACTTCAATTCTTCAGATATTCCTAGGGAAAGTATTCATAGCTTTTATAATAAGAAAGAGAAGAGGGGGGATATGGTCATCAGCTTATGGGAGGAATTTAGACTGATTTAGCACTTGTGATAAATGCAAGACCACTTGTGATAAATGCAAGACCAAAAAAAAAAAAAAAAGTCGCACAGCACAAAAGGCCCTCACTATCAAATTTCATTCAAGGAATACATCCAAGATGGTTTAAATAAAATTATAATGACTATAATACTAATGATAATGGCAATTCTCTCCATGAATTACCTAAGCTTCAAAGGATTCATCTATAATGGATGATTCCCTTGATGAGTTGATTCTCTTCAATAAGATAAAAACAAATTGTTGAAACCCCTCAATTTCAACCATGAATCATCTAATGGTGAAAGACGCTTCCAACAAACAATATATCATTGGAATTCACCATTTGTAGCATAAGTTCATCAAAATGGTGGGAGCTAAATTGATGAGTTGGCAAAAGCATTGGTAGGCAAACTATGAGCAAAAGTATCAATGTACCATCGGTAGATTTTTCACGGTACAAAATCAAACCAATCACATTGATTAGCAAAGAGATTCTAACCTTTGCTGATAGACCAAGCTCGTGAGCATCACTATTTAACATCAAGATCCTCAAATGCAGCTCCATCAACATCTGAGAAAATGATGGTGATTTCAAAAGTTGTCGAGTAGAGGACAGCAGAGATTTCTCACTGGGATTTGGTTGATGTTGGATCATATAGACACCACAATTCTGGCAACACAAAGAATTGAAAGTATTTCCCTTGAAGAGTTGATTCTCTTCAATCATAGGTGCCTTGACAGGTCCTTGTCCTAAGTTCAATGAACAATTTAAGTTCAAAGAAAAGGAGTCAATGGGGTGGGAAACATGTCAACACCTCTTTAGTCAAGGAGTCCCGATAGTACTGTTGTGCGAAAACTCGTACTCTGACACATTGAGTTGGTTGTTGATACAATGGTAGTGTCGCCTGTACCGAGTTTTGAGGTATGAGGCCACTGAGGAGTATGAATTTAAATTTGTTTGGTTGCATCTGGATCACAATTGCAATTGGTTGGAAATGATGAAGTTGTTTCCATGCTCACCGCACCCAATGATTGAGGATAGATTTTGATCTCAGCCTTTTGTGAGATCCTAGTTCGCACCATTATCAAATTCACCCCGACTGAAAGAATGCTAGATTCAAAATTTCATGTGGAGTATGGGTGAATCTTACATGAGAATCAAAGAAAACGAGGTGATGGAATAGGCTCAATGCATATACCTTGTCACCTTTAGACTTTCCAAGAAAGACTAAAGAAAGCATAAGAGTAGCCCTAGAAAAGACTTCCAAAATCAAAGTTCACCAGAGGATCTTTTTCAGAGATAAAAAAGTATAAGATAAAAAAAACCATGTTCTATTAGGCCTTGATACCCAATGCAAAGGTGAATAAGACAATGATTACAAAATCTTCTATGGATGCAAAGGCATCGACTAAATTGAAGGTAGTTGTCAATGACTTGATATAAATGACGCAGGTGTTGACTTCCCTCATCAAGACGTTGAACATGCTTATGTTCGTCCACTAAAACAAAATGACGAATAAGATTTCTTAGAATATTCTCATTTGGTGACCTGCTTGACATCGCTCAGAGGCCTTCAATACTTAGTTCTAACCCATCCTCACTAAGATATTGGATTCACCTTGAGTCCTATGTGCAAGTTGGTCTACCAAACCCAAGTGAGTTGGTGTGTAACATTTAGGACCCATAAGCCAAAGCTTATGTCAGAGGCTAAACTACTTCTAATTTCTACTCGAGAATTATTTTCATATGTTTGATGTTAGACACAACTCAATACTCTTTAGGGGCGGACCCACGTTCAGGTGAGATCAGGCACTTAAAATTAAAATAACTTCAAAATGCATGGTTAGTTCTCATTTTAACACTGTCATTGTCGAAATCAAAAATTAATTTTTAAAATTAAAATAACTTTATAATGTACTGTTAGTCCTCATTTTAACACTATGATTGCTGGGTCCCAAGCCACGGATGTGAAAAGTGGAGGGTTGTGTTAGGTTGTCGACAGCCAGCGTAAAATTTGTCGAAAAATCATAACATGAATCTTTTTTATCATTGTGTGAACGCTAGGATGTCCCCTGAAAGCAATACAGTGAAAAATGTGCAAGGGTCGCTACACTGGCGCCCGAGTGTAGTGTCAAATAAATAAGGGTTCCCACATTACAGACATATATAAGTAAAAAAGTCAATGAAACTAATATTAGGATAGAGTCTTGAAATATAGGCATTCTCACAGGTAAATTAATGAAATTAGTTGATTTTATGATTCATAGAAAAATAAATATCTAATATATTTAAAAAATTAAATGAGTTGAAGAAAAGGTTAAGGATATTGATAACTTAGGTTTTAAAATTTTGTGTTCAGGTAAAAGTCACGCTAGAAATGGTGTAGATTTAATTATAGATATAAGTTTGAAAGATAATGTAGCAAAAATTAATAGAATTGGAGATAAAACTATAGCTCTTAAGATTATTGTTGATACAAATATTTTAATATTATAAGTGCATATGTTCCTCAATTAGGTTTAGATGTAAGTTCTAAAGAAAAATTTTGGAATGACCTAGAAGTATTAATACAAATGAAATCTCTTGAAGAAAGAATTTTTATTGGAGGAGATTTAAATGAACATGTAGATAGAGTGGTAGAAGATTTTAAAAATATTCATATTGGCTACAATTTTGGAGTGATTAATGAAGAAGGTAAAAACATATTAGATTTTGTTTTAGCATATGATTTTGTTATTGCTAATACTTTATTCAAAATAAGACATGAGCATATTATTACTTATAAGAATGGATCTAATAAAAAATAAATTGATCATTTTCTTATAAGAAGAAGAGATTGTCGAGAATGTAAAGATTGTAAGGTCGTTCCAGGAGAGAATTTAAGTACTCACATCGATTATTAGTTATGAATTTTAAGATAAAGAGTTGCAAAATAAAGAATACTAGGAACCATTGTCATAACATTAGATGGTGACACCTAAAAAACCAAAATAAAATTATTTTTATGAGTAAACTTCAAGATTTTGGACGTTCATGAAGAAGCAAATTCTATATGAGATAAAACAACACATTATTAAACAAGTGACAAAAGATGTACTTGGAGAACCAAAAAGAAATTTTTTTATAAATAAAAATAGTTTGTGACGGAATAATAATGTGCAAGAAAAAGCTAAAATATAAAAGTTATATTATAAAAATTGATTTAAATGCAAAAACTTACAGATGAGAAAAATATAAAATGACAGTAGGGAGTCTATGAGAACAATCCGTGACGCGAAAAATTCTGTTTT